TTACTAATATTCATTTTTCCCCTCTTTGATATGAATAAGATCCTCACTTATTATTCGAAAATCTTCTTTCAAAGATGAAAAAAGCTTCTCCCACCAAAAATCCTCTTCCACCACAAAAAAACTTTCTTCATGATGAATAATTTAGTATCCACGTGTTTTTTGAAAACTCTTATTTTAAGATTAAAAATTCTCTCCTACGAAAACCCTCTATCAAAAATAAAACCCCCTATCCCACCACCAAAAAAACCCTTCTTCCTTAAATGTTTAAATTAATACAGAAAATTTGCAAATTTTATATTTGAACATTGTATTCTGAAAATAACTAATGTATATTTATTACGGTCAATTCTTTCCTAAAAGTAAAGGTAAAAATAAAAGAAGAAGATAAAAATTCGGCTGGCAACAAATTTCATATTTCAACAGAAAAAAAAGAATAAAATGGAGTATTTCATAAAATATAAATGGAGTCAAGTTTCGTCTCAGCAAAAGCAAAGAAAGGGAGGAAGAAGAACATATATTCACTCTGCGAATTTGGATAGTGAGAGAAAGGAAAATGGAGACTCTACGCCAAATTCGAGCTAAGAATTCATATTTTCTTCTTCTTTCTCTTCTATGGATCACTCTTCTCTCTTCATCCATATCCGCAACTTCACCTCTTTCTCAGTCGGATCAGGTTTTTTTTTTTTTCACTTTTTCAGCTGCATTTTTCTTCGTGTTCAACGAACAATTTGTTTCTCTATATGATTAGTGTTCTGCCTTAGATCGAAAAGGATGAATTTCTCTTCATGATGTTTTTTTTTTTTTGAACTCTTATTTATGTTAGGTTTTAAATGCAGAATTAACGGAATTTGGGTTTATGTATGTTTCTGTTACCGGTTATCTTGTAATTATTGAACTAAATTAACCTTGCGGTAGCTGTGATTTTGGTTTTGGCTTTAGCTGAATATTAGTAATGCTTGATTTGAATTACTTGCAATCATCAGTGATGACCTATTTTATTTGTCTTGTTTTGAATCTGTTTGCGTTTGGAAATCACTTCTTGGAGCTGGTAAATTTCCTGGCTGACCACATTCAATTTTTTGTGCATAGGGTACAGAGCAGCATGCGACAAGGTAAGGTTTTATTTCGGTTTATAGTTGTAGCTCGTATTGATTCCTATTCCGAAATTATACCTTTGAAAATAAATGTAAGAAGCCTCTTAACAGTACATTTGAAGATATTTTCTGAGGCAATAAGTTGTATCATAGTTCTCTATCAGAAAATGAAAAAGAAAAGTTGTATCATGGTTAAATTTTCTTGTTTTTCGTCCGCCTTTTCAGGCCTTATGTTCCTTTTCAGCAGGATACTGTATGAGATAAATTCTAGATTTCAACTGTACTATTAAAACATGTTTGAAAGCAATCCATTTTAGATGTGCCATTCCCTTGAAGTTGTCACTTATCTGAATTATTTTCTTTGCTGCTCTGAAGTCCCGCACAAGACAAATCACAAGTTCACGAAGTTCATTGCTCCAGAGAGAGAAGCCGGGCTGCCTGGAAAGTTGTTGAGGAGGTATCTGCAAAAGTACTTCATTTGACTCAACTTAAGCTCTGCTGCAAATACGGGACTGAAAATTGCATTTTTACTCCATCTGTGCTGTGCAGTACTTAATGCCCTTTGTAGAAAAAGAGAAGTATGAGCTTCCTAGGCAGTGTAGACTTCATCCAAGTAATGATCTTTTCAGAGATCAGGAGGAACATAAAATTCATCTTGATGTGAATGAATGGCGCTGTGGATACTGCAGAAAAAGCTTTCGGGCTGAAAAATTTCTTGATCAGCATTTTGACAACAGGCATTCCAATCTTCTAGACGTTGTAAGCATCATATACTATTCATGTTTTTGTTCACTCCAAATTTTAATTCATTTCATATGATTTATGCAAAAAATATATTCTTGACACTGGAGTGAGAAAACCAGCCTTGTTGCACTCGTGTAGAATAGTTCATAACGTGTTAATAAGTGATAGTTCGATTGGCCCTAATTAGTCTTGAATTATATGAATAAAATTATCAAATTGATAGGGGATCTCTGGCTTACTGCTCTTTATATTGCACACGATGTTGGGAGTCTGTGCGCTGCTGGTTGGTTGCCTCATCTTGTCTGTGTTATTAATAGTGTAGGTCTAAGGGGATGGAGATGAATTTTCAAGAATAAGGTGACAAACTACAGTCCGCAGACGATTGTTTGTTATTAAGAGCTATATGGGGCTTTCTCAAAAGATCTATTTGGGGATTTAGGGAATCCATTTTGCAGCCCTTCCTTTTCTCAGAGAAGTACTGACAACCCGAATCTAGTTTTCCTAAAACACTTGTCCAAACAAGTAGAAATAGAACTTAAGTTCTACTAAGCTTATTTCCCCTCTTTTATTATTTTTCTGCATTTTCGGTTTGAGGGTCAATTATAGTTTCAGGATGAATCCAGAGTTGTATCCTTCTCTTCTTTCACCACCCTTTCTCATACCTGTTCTGTCTGGACTCAGTAGCTTATCATAATTTACCAGCATCTAAGTCTTGTTCCATGGAGGTGATTGCAAAGTATAAATTAATGAGGTTTATAAATACCTCAAAAAATGGGGGGGGGGGGGGGAAGCCCTCCCCAGGGGATCTCTGGCTTACTGCTCTTTATATTGCACACGATGTTGGGAGTCTGTGCGCTGCTGGTTGGTTGCCTCATCTTGTCTGTGTTATTAATAGTGTAGGTCTAAGGGGATGGAGATGAATTTTCAAGAATAAGGTGACAAACTACAGTCCGCAGACGATTGTTTGTTATTAAGAGCTATATGGGGCTTTCTCAAAAGATCTATTTGGGGATTTAGGGAATCCATTTTGCAGCCCTTCCTTTTCTCAGAGAAGTACTGACAACCCGAATCTAGTTTTCCTAAAACACTTGTCCAAACAAGTAGAAATAGAACTTAAGTTCTACTAAGCTTATTTCCCCTCTTTTATTATTTTTCTGCATTTTCGGTTTGAGGGTCAATTATAGTTTCAGGATGAATCCAGAGTTGTATCCTTCTCTTCTTTCACCACCCTTTCTCATACCTGTTCTGTCTGGACTCAGTAGCTTATCATAATTTACCAGCATCTAAGTCTTGTTCCATGGAGGTGATTGCAAAGTATAAATTAATGAGGTTTATAAATACCTCAAAAAATGGGGGGGGGGGGGTAAAGCCCTATCCTATATGATGTCACACACATTTGAGTAGCGTGTGATCTATTGTAGAAACTAAAGTAAAAATCTTATGCTGAATGTTGCATTCTATATTCAGAGTTGAGCAATATATTTTGTAGGACGAGATATTTTTGGAGGTTGAGATCACACCATGCTTTCATTTTAAGTTCCTTGCCTGTTATTTTAAATCAAAAGCTTGTAGCGCCCTTTGGTGAGAACATATGTTCATCAATGGTCGATAGGATCTTCCTACCACTAATATCAACCTAAGTAGTTATTTTAGCAAGTTTCCTGGTGTCATGGTAACTCTTCTAGATGGGTCCAGCACATTCATCAAGTACGTTTGCAACTCTTGTTCAAAGAAAAAGATTCTGGTTTTAGTTTATAGCAAGAATCTTTTTGAACTAGCCACTTCTTTCATCATGGCTGGCTTGTTATCAGTGAATACTTTGAACTTATCTATTACAGAAACTGATTTCATCATAGTATTCAAAAACCAAGTGGAAGTAGGCTGATCACATTATTCTTTCTGGTAATTTTATTTCACAAGATTCATAACTTGGTCCAGGTCAGGCCACTGACGAGTGTGTCAGGAAGTTAGAGTATTCTATTATTTACCATGCTTTGATTTTTGAATTAGAATAATGTTTTATAAGGTATGAAGTAATCTTAGCATATGATCTCATGTCTCAGGGTCACAGCAAATGCCTGGCAGATGTATGTGGAGCTTTGCATTGTGACCTTGTGATGGAAATCAAATCCAAGAAGACCAAGTGTAATCCTGCGGCAGCAGCACGAAATCGTCATTTATGTGAGGTTACCTTCTGAACTTAAGCCTATATGTCAGATTAACTTGCCAATTCTACTGATTTCTCTTTGATATCAAGTCCGTTGTTTCCCCTTCCTTGCAGGGTCTCGCAGACAAATGTTTTCCTGCTAATCAGAGTCCATCGTCAACTCATCTTCATGGTACACTTTCTCCATAGTGTTAGAATCTGAAGTAATTAAATAGTTGCTTCTACTTGTGATGATCTTTGGTTGGTTTGATGTCAGAACTATTCTTACGCCAATTCTGTGATGCTCACACTTGCTCGGGGGGTGGAAAACCGTTTTCTAGAGGAGGAAAGGTATGGTTTGATTACTGAAATGCCTTAATTATGTGCCTTTTGTTAAATCTAAATAAAAGTTGTATGACGGATTTATGGACTTTTGATCTATCTTGGGTATAACTTCATACGATACTCTACTGAGATGTAAATCTTGTCCGGCAATTTTGCAAGGCACTTTCTTTACTTGTTCAAGTGGATATTTTCTCTACATTTTGTAATCTTTTCAACTTTTATGCATGTGACATTATATTTGCAGAAGCATATAAATCGGTTCTACTTGGCAGCTTCAATATTGACGTTGATGCTGCTCCCTCTATTTTACCTTATTGTCTATTTGTACCAAAGGTGCTGCCTCAAAACTTTGAATCACCTAGCCTCCATCAAAATTTGCATTAAAATAATTACCTCTTCATCTGCAGTGAAATCAAAAGGGGAACTCAAGAACTTAAGCGCATAGCAAAAGTTGGAAGAAAAGCAAAACCTTCTTAGCTGTGTACAGTGGTGATACTCTTTTTGGGTGAGGATATTTATCTATCTTGTTTAACTCATGTTGGAAAGAAATGGTTCCTTTGTCGTAATGCATGTTACACCAGTTTATGAAATGTATTTCATAGTGAGCCGAAACATTTGCATCATGAAGGGATGCTAATGGATTGACATTGTTCATCTTCTTGTCTGTTGTAGACATTTCTTGGTGACGGTTCATTTACCATTGCTGGATGATCCGAGATCCAAGGCAGAAGTCAATACATTTCCTCCGTCAGCATGGTATAATGCATCTGGGCATTTATCTCTTGTCAGCCTGGATCAACCGATATCATTGAAGCAGAAGCTAAATTCTTACTCTGTTGTATCAATTCTCAGACCCAGAGAACAGTTCTCTTGAGAAGACAATCACAATCTCTTTTCTCTTTATGAATTGTACATTGGGAGAACATGAAATCTTTGTGTTGTATGTTTCTTTGGGTAATCTGAAGTTCAATTCTTGGGGTGTGTTGACCAAGCATTGTTATGACTGGTAAGTGGTAAGCTCGGAAAAGTGTTAGCAAATGGAAAGACAAGTCAGTCAATGGCAGCATTCCTTTTAACATTTTTCTTGCATGCTTGTTGTCCAACCTATAATTGGTGTTACATGGAAGACATAGGAGATTAATTCAAAATAATGATATAGAAAACACTAAAGCATTTGCTATGTCATTTGTTTTTGGTGCAAGGAGAGAATATCATGTGTAATAGCAGGACAAGCTCAATAGACGACTGTGGACGACTTCAATTAAGTCATACAAAATTTGTACATATTTTTGGATACCAAGTCGATATTTATGAAGAAATCTTGACTCGTAAACAAAGGATTTCGATTAAACAGTTGGGGTCAGATAACCAAGTTACATTTACTGCTGTCTTAAATATGCTTTGCAACAGAAACCTTCCACTCTCTCCAATGTTTTGTTCAGCAGTATATACACACTCGCCTTTGCTCTTTTGAGGTTCCACCAGTTCACATGTCGATAGATCTTACACAAACCAACTGATGACATCCAAGTATTGGGAGCTTCTTGCCTTTAACCACCAGCATTGCTAACAGAGCAGTCTCTTCTGAGCCATCCAGGTTGAAACTTATGGAGCTAACACATTGAACGCGAGGGATATTAACTCATTAGATAATAAGAAACCATCAGGGTCACTAAGCCTGATATATGCCAACACCTCATTGATCTTGGTCCCTTCAGATAACAAAGAGCTGAATTCTTCTGGGGAGATTTCTTTCCTTTGCTCATCCAAGCAGACAACATGCCCACTCTCAATATGAGGCTTATAGACCTCACAGAGGGAGAGAATAGTCGAGCTGCCAAAAGCTTTGCCAAATGACTTCAAATCCAACCCTTTAGCAGTTCTCAAAGACAGCATAACAACATCCATTGCTACGTCTTGGGCATCTACTTTACTGTCCGGGCAACAATTCACTAGTCCATTCTCCAAATTTTGCACATAACCCATGTAATCTTTCAGCTTCCTTGGCCTTGAAAACCTTAGTCCATTAAGATAGCTGGCTGACCCAAGTCCAAAAGCATAAAAAGGTTTGTTTATCCAGTATGTGTAATTGTGCTTGCATTGATAACCACTTTTGCAGTAGCTACTTATCTCATAGTGCTCATAACCAGCATCTCTTAGCATTTCAGAGGCCATTCTGTAAAAATCAGCAGCTTGATTTTCAGAAGGCAGAGGGAATTCCCCAGCTGTATACCTGTTGATACAACAATTCAGTTCAACAGTTGAATGTTTAAGTGTACTCACATGCGAAAGTGCTCTTTTTGGTACTAGTGAAAAATGTAGGATATTCTTCCCTCTACTTATACGAATCGATGTTTCATCTTTACAGCTGAAATACCCCTTGCAGTAGAAGTTATGGAGAAATTCTCAATAAAAAGCATATAATATCAAGTCACTGAGATTCACAGATAAAAGATGCCTCAATAACAACAACAACAAACCCAGTGTAATCCTACAAATGAAGTATGGGGAAGGTAAAGTGTAAATAGACCTTACCCCTACCTTGAGAAAGATAGAGAGACTGTTTGTAATAGACCCTCAGCTCAAAGAAAGATGTAAAAGAAAGCGGTAGCAACAAGCAGAAACAACATCAAGGTAGTACAATAATCGAGGCTAAAGAAGTAACAAGTAGTAATAAAAATCTAAGAATACGAAAATACAATAACAAAACTAATACTCCGGGATAAAAGATGCTCAATCCCAAATCAATTTGAAAAGTAGCTGAAAAAAGAGACTTGAAAAACATATCATTTTGAAAAGTAGCTGAAAAGAGAGACTTGAAAAACATATCAATTTGAAAAGTAGTTGAAAAGAGAGACTTGAAAAACATGCTGGCAAAGGAAAAACTCAATTTAGCAAGTGAAGGTTCAAAGTTGTATTACTTACAAAGATGCAAACTTTGTATCTTGCTCAACTTGTAAATCGTAAACTGACACATGTGTCGGCTTTGCTTGAATAGCGAGGTTCAAGCTTTGTTCCCACATATGTGGTTTCTGATGAGGAAGTGAAGATATAAGGTCCACACTCCAATTCTCAACATCACATGATCCAACAATGTCAATAGCCTCATGAATTTCCTGTACACCGTGCGCTCTCCCACAACTCCTAAGCAACTCCTCCTGGAATGCTTGAACTCCTAGCGACACTCTATTAACTCCCAACTTCATCAAATCTTTCAATTTTTTAGCATCAAATGTACCAGGATCCATTTCTATTGAAATTTCAGCATCAGAACACACCCCGAATTTAGCGTCCAATGTCTCCAGGACTAGAGATACTAATCTTGGTGGTACAAGTGAAGGTGTACCTCCACCAAAAAAGACGGTTTCAAGAGGTGACTTGTAGTCGGAAGGTATTGAAGTGGCTTTAATTTCTCTGCATAGGAAATCAATGTAGTTAATAATTCGAGGGTCGTCATCACCATAAGGTGAAGATGACCCCAATGCGACGATGGGGAAGTCGCAGTAGTGACAGCGCTTTCGACAGAACGGGAGGTGAACGTAAGCTGAGGTTGGAGTATGCTGTTGTAGCAACATATTCTCCATTGAGGCATTTTGTCGAACAGGTTGTGGGGGGTTTGTTATTGCAGTGATAATTGTGTTCAAGTAGTTGCGGGGTTTTTTGGCCTTAGAGGGAAAAGCCGTTAATATGGGAGTGAAAGTTGATCTCAGCATTTTTTTGGGAAGGCCAACGTATAAGTCAAGCTGGAACAAAAATTAATTCTGAGTAGTTCAAACTAGTGGAGAACTTTAGGAGCATAATTTTCCTCTTTTAATATTTAATTGGTGGATATCCGTAAAGGTGATTGAGTTGATGTAGCATATGATATTTTATAACGAAGGCAAGTGAATATTTTTCTTAGCCATCATCTTCTCAATCAAGATGTTGCACCGAACTTGCCTGATATGATTAAATATCTTATGTGGTATGCAAGCTATTGTACTTGAGCAGTTTACTCGGTGTGCATACATAAATTTTAATGGGTGGCCTCAGTAAAGAAGTCAAACCTCTTTATAAGTTATCACATTGTTTTCTAGATATTTTTAAATTGCTATAAATAAATATTTTTATAAAAAATATTTAGTACACCTTATGTTCAATTTATGTGATATATTTTGTTTTTTGAGAGTCAGGCTGTTAAAGTTTGATAGAAAACTTGCTCATGAAATTTTCAAATTTTTTAAATAAAATTTATTTATTTGTAAACTAAGTAAAAAGTACTAGTAAGTCACAATAATAAACAATTTAAAGTATTTAAAAGAAATAGTTACTGTTTGAATCGAAATTCGAAATGTGTGACATAAATTAGGATAGAGGAAGTATAACATTATAAAAAAAGATACTTCCTCCTTCCCAATTTATGCGACTTTTCGAATTTCAAGATTCAAACAAGTCTATCTTTGACCATAAATTTTCATATATTTTTTAATTATTTTGAATTGCCAATTATTGTAACTTATAACACTTTTTACGTAATTTACAAATATATAAATTTCATTTCAAAAAAATTGAAGATTTTACGCGTAAATTTTTTATTACACTTAAACTGTTTGACTCTTAAAAATGAAAAGCATCATATAAATCGAGACAGACAAAGTAATAAAAGAGTGAAGTGGTCACTTGAAAAAATAAATTATTCATTCTTTTGTCAACATAAAACAAATTATAGATAGGGAAACTAACATGTTTAGTCCCTCAAATATCAATGGATCTTTATTTTGATTATAAGTAATCCAATTTTGGCGCGAATATAAAATACTGTTCCCGCTACAATTTCGCTCAATCTCTGTTTTTGGCGGCGAAAAAATCCCTTCGTTTTCGCGTCTACTGTAAGATTCCGATCAAAAGCCATGAATTCCAGAGAGCTAACGCTGTTCTCAGCTGCCGCAGTGTTTGGTGCTTTTGCCTCTGCTATGACCATTCGCTTATTTTTCAACCCGAAAAGCCGTTCTGTTACTGACCCAGATTCGGGAGTTAATGGTTTTCATCAAAGGAAGTCGTCGTCTTCTCGGAACCCATTTGATCCTTCAAAACGAGAAGGGTTTGTGGTTTTTGAACTTTTATCGATTATTTTAGATCCTTAGTTATGTATTTTACTATGGTTCTGTAATTGTAGGTATTTGACGTGGGATGATTACTTTATGGCGATTGCATTTCTATCTGCTGAACGATCCAAGGATCCAAACAGGCAGGTACTACTCTAATTTGTGAACCGAACCGATTTTAAGCATTTTCATGAATTTGAAGTCATTTGGAACGAGTGGATGATTGGAATTACACGCCAACTGTTTGTTAAATTGTTGTATATTTCATGCTTAATTGTCGTAAGTGTCGTATTGCCAAAAGCTAATGTATACTTCACTGAGTTCACTTTGTCAATTGACAGATCTATATTATTAAAAAGATTCCTTCCTAAATAGAATAAGAAGGAAACTACCAAGTAGTCTTGAGATGATACACAAACTAAAGACTCCGATTTTCGAAGAAAAGCTATTGATTGGTTTGTCTTATTTATTCTGCTGTTTAGGTGAAATCAAAGTAGTTATCAGTGGCTGTTACCCCTTTTAACCTCATGATAAAAGGAGTTATCTAATAATTTGTGATGATCGGATTTCTTCCAACTGAATGAATGAAGCTGTTTATAGACAGTCACACTTGTTCATGGTGCTCTCGTTAAATGCTCTGAACTCTTTTGTATGATATTTCCACTTTTTACTGCTCTAATGCTACTTTGAGGTTGACTTTCTTGAGTCAGGTTTCACAAGGTCCCTTGGGACTAACCATTTTCTGGCTGTTTGGCAGGTTGGAGCATGTTTGGTGAGTCAAAATTATGTAATATTAGGTAAGATGTATTTAAAGGAATCAAATATCTGTCTATTTAAAGCTGAAAAATGTTTCATATCATTATGTTTTATTGTTCAAATCACATTTGATTAGGTAGAACCTCATCAAGTCATCTAACTGTCTGTTGGAGCAGCTCAGAGATAGATAAACTAGTTTCACATTCACTTAGGACCTCAATATTTGGTTAAATTTCACTTATGATACTATTATTAATCATTTCTTGATTTGAGAATCCTATGGTTCTATCACTTTACCATTATATTGGTTGAGTCATGATTTCATATTGGTTCCAGAAAAGATGAAATAGAGATGGTTGCTTCTGAAATAGTAGGGAGATTAAAAAAGCTTCATTCACTTCTTAATACTTGTGCAATGCTTTCGTAGGAACTGCAAACATTTGCAAGACGCCAGTCTTCAGTTGCCCCTCTTAAGTTGCTTTAGTCTTTGCACATTAGTTAGTATTATTTAACATATGCTCTATCTCGTTTTTATCACTTGACATAGAATAGATGTAGCGGCATTGCCACACTTGGGAGTATATTGGTTAATTTCACACTTGAGATTCATACATGATTTTTGATGTTGGAAGTCCATCTTTGACTCTCTGATTTGTTATCTTTTTTCATATGGGTATTTATTATTTGATTTTTTCCCCGTACTACATGAATGTTTGATTAGGCTAATCACATAACTTCTAGAATACGAACATTGGGCAACATATTTACTGCCAATTGGTTATTAGATTCCATCTGATTGATGCTCTACTTTTAGCCAGGCATTGGATACAATGGGTTCCCACGTGGCTGTTCAGATGACAAGCTTCCCTGGGCAAAGGTTGTTTCTGTTCAAAGAACATATATCTTTATTACTGTCACTGTTATTCTAATTAATTCCTAACATTTCAGAAATCTAAAAATGGGAATCCACTGGAGACAAAGTATCCGTAAGTAATAAGCTTCTCTGAGACATTTTATGTGTAATTTATGTCAGTAGACTACACAATGTTGTTTTGTAGGTTTGTAATTACCTTACCAGTCATACTATCTTAATTCAAGAAACAAGTTTCGCTCAGTCTACGCTTGATGACTCTACCTAATTTCAAGCTTACCAATTTTCTTGCAGTTATGTTTGTCATGCTGAAGTTAATGCCATCCTGAATACAAATCATGCATCTGCTGCAGGACAGGTTAGCTTGGGTCTTGACCTGTGCAATATCGATCTGATGTCCTGTCACTCCTACTGCCAATCCTTTTTTCTCTCTCTCTGAACAGCCTCTTTTCTTATCAAGTCTATTGGAAATTATTTTATCTGGCCTGTGTTTTGCCCAGTATTATCTCACAGAATACGCCTTACCCTATTATGCAGAGGCTTTACGTGACAATGTTTCCTTGCAATGAATGCGCAAAGATTATCATTCAAGTAAGTCTGATCCTATTTGACCTCAAAATATCTATAGCACAGCAACATTTTCTACTATGGAAGAATGATAATATGGAGGATTGCTTCTGTTTGGGAGCTTAAGCTTTTTTGGATGTTCATTTTATAAATTTTCAGTGAGACATGCACTAGCAGAAATTATGTGAAGACAACAAAACGAATTTGCACCTCACTTTTGAATTGAAAATACTTGCATCAGGATTTCGTGCTCAGATTCCCTTAAATCAAGATAAATACAGATATAAGTAGGCATGTTTGCAACTTATCGAGATATAACATTCAACCATAAAGAGATTAATGAGGATTCTGGAATAAAAATAGCTATGAAAAGAATCTGTGGGTGTTCTCCAGTATTTTTTTGACTTCTATGCTGTATGCACAGGGAACTAGATTTGTGATTAATTTTGCGTCTCTGCATCATGCATCTTCCCTGTTTGGTTTTCCATTGATTTATACTTCTCAAATTTCTGTATTTTGCAGTCTGGTGTTTCAGAAGTTATTTATTTTGTGGAGAAGAGATTAGATGGTTCTGACACGGCTTATGTTGCTTCCCACAAACTTCTGTCATTGGCTGGCATTAAGGTAAGTCATTTTAGTGTCAACTCCTCTCCAAGAAATGTTACCTCGAGGAGATACAACATCTTACCAATGAAAAAAAGAGAGAAGATTTTCTCAGTAGTTATAATCCTTGGAGCAAAAGTGAGCAACAGATATCAGTTATTTTGATCTGTGAACTTATTTAAATACTGATTGTAGGTAAGGAGGCATCAGCCACAGATGAAAGAGATCTCAATCAAGTTTGAAGAACTATAGACATCAGACACTCCTCGATGATGTGCTCTTCTCTAGACCTTAATGTATCTTATGGATCTCTCTTGGGTTAAAGATCAAAGATTGATGCATCTTAGTACTGCTGCTAAGAGGGTTGAGGACTCTCAACTCTTACTATGTAAGGTGTTCAACTCTTGAGATGTGTACCAATGTTTGTAACTGCTCACTTTAAGATGAAAAGCTGCAACTTCTCGTTATTACCGAAAACACTTTCACTGGTTAATGTAAAGATGATGAGTTAATTTCTTTAACAGGTGTTTTAGTACCAAAGTAAATTGGTTTTATGTCGATACAAGTGTGGTAATTACATTGATGTACCATTTCATCAGAAGTTTAAAACAGAAAAAAAAAAACATGTTTAATCAGATTCTCTGATGGCTATGGTTTGAGCCAATTCATTCCTTAAGTCTGTCTCTAGCAATAGAGAATTTGCCTGCATTTTACAAAACTTGGAATCCATAGGGGAAGTTTTCAGGTATTCCAATTAACAAAAGATGGAAAAAGAAAGAATACTGAAACATTGTATAGGATGTATTCATTAATTTAGCACCTTCAGGGATCCAAAATTGCTAGAAAGGAGATGGTGACAATATTTGATTAACCTTTTAGTAATACAACATTAGCTCTAATCTCTGCCAGTAAGCTGCTGCAATATAGACTAGTTCATTGCTTCAATCCCACATGCTGGGAATAGGAACATCTCACTTGTCTATTCATTCAGACAAAAAACTAGCATTAAAAAGCCTAATTTTTTCTCCAAAGCAAGGAAATTTTACACGAACATCATGCAACCAAGTTCTCCTTTTCTCTACAACAAAAGTTTCTCTTTTTGTATTTCATTAATCTAATCA